CGCCTGAGGGCCTCCAGTGGCCAGGAGAGGCTCGCCTGTGAGAACAGCAACGCCCGAACACCCACCGACTGTCGTAAACTGCTTCTGAGTGCCCCCAACGGCGACAGAAAAACCCTCAACAGGTGAGGCATATGAGCCAGAGGGGCCGCGGCTTGACGTAAATTGCACCTGAGTGCCCCCAGGGGCCAAGAAACCACCATCCGCGGGTACTGTGGAGCACGAAAGACCGCTGGCTGAACAAAGCTGCGCTTGGGTGCCACCATCAGCGGCCGAGAGTCCATCGCCCGTGGAAACAGCTGAATCGTAGCAAACACCGACTGACGTAAGCTGGTCTGGGCTGCCTCGGACGGCAGAGAGGGCAGCAGCTGAAATGCTTGGGGCGGCTCCTCGGTGCTCGTCCGTGCGGTTGCTCGCGGCTGGGGTGGGAGTGAGCTCGGTGCAGTCTCCTGGCGAGGCAGCGCAGAGCCCCGGCTCCTCCGAAGTCCCAGTCGAGGTGGATGGGCCGAGCTCGGCCTCCAGCACCTCCGCGGCGCACAATCTCCAACAGTGGATGCGGTCGTCGAAGTAGACGGTGGGGGCCTGTGTTGTCTGCGTGGCCTGGGACTGACGGTCGAACCACCGCTCCGCGGCTGACTGGTTGCGGTCCTGCTGAGCCGCCTCACGCTCAAAAGCTTCCTGATTGGTAAACTGCAGCTGCTCTAACCATTGCCGCTGGAGGCGCCTGGCCTCCCCTCCACGGTTCCAGGCTTCGTCACCCAACTCCCGTGCAGTCCTCATGCGCTCGGCAATTCGGGATCCGCTGCCCGTGGTGGCTGCCAGGTCGTCCAGCATGGCTGTGTACTCCCCAGAGCTCAGCTGGTGGAAGATGTACGGTACGCAGTAGGAGTCCCAGTGCCTGCGGTCCTGAGCCTCGGTCCCCCCTGACGGGGGTCGCCAGCGCCGAGCCATGCGGCGCATACGCGTGGCCAGGATGGCCAGCTGCCGTCTGCCCAGGCGGACGAGTCTGGGCTCTCGTGGCTTGGCCACTGGCGATGCATCAGGTCCCCAGGGCTGGGCCTTACGCATCTGCGCCCCCAGCTGGGACGGCGGCTGCTGCTTCCAAGTCCCGCCTGAGCTGAGCCAACTTGGCTGCGCCATCGGGGCCGCGGAGGCTGGGTGGCTCTGGAAGGTGAGCAACAGGAGGCCCAGCAGGGGCCCCAGGCGACACAGGGGCAGGGGCCTGGGCTGGGGCCGCGGCGGCCGCTGGGGCCTCCGCGGGGCCTGCTGCCGCATGGCCTGCGGCTGGCTCCTGGTCTGTCGTCTGGTCTGCTGCTCCTGCCGCCTCGGTGCGTGGCCGCTTGCGCCTGGCCAGCAGCTGCTGGTGCTTGGCGTCGATCTCGCTGCGCCTCTGCTCCAGCTGCGTCTTGGCCTCCCCGAAGGTGGTGCGCACGTGCTGCTTGACCTGCTCGACGAAGCCCTCCAGGGACTTGTTGAACTCCTCCCGCTCCGCGTCGGTGATGTCCAGGTCGGGGTCGTCCAGCCTGAAGGCGTCGCCTGCCTCGACCTGGAAGTCATCCGCCAACAGCGCCGTGACGTTGAGGCCCACGGCAGGCTGAGCCTTGGCGCCTGACTCCTGCGCCACCTGCGCCTGCACCTGGACGCCCTTGGGCGCGGCTGCCTTGTAGGCCTGCTCCACCTCAACGTCGCACGCCAGGACGAGCTCCCCAGCACGCACCTCCTCCTCGCGGCAGGCCTGGAGCCACTGCTCAGCGTCGCGAACCTGCTGGGACTTGGAGAGGAAGGCGGCTTGGGCCCGCCTCTGCTTGGCCTGGGCGCGGTTGAGAGCCACATCTGGCAACACCGTGGCCGCAACGGGCGGTGGTGCGACAGCCTTCTTGATGGCCTCGAGCTGCAGGCAGTGCTCGGGATGCCTGGCCGCCAACGCCGCGAGGCACTCTGCGTCCGACGGCGGGGCAGGCTGCGGCAGTGGTGCCTCGTGCCCGATCCAGTCGTCCGAGTGCACCCACGGCTCGCGCACGAAAGACCACGCCGATGCCCGTAGCTGCGGAGGCTTGTCCACTGTTGCAGGCTTGAGCGGCTTCTTGCAATTGTAGCAGTCCATCCTGGCCTTGAAGTTCCACTTGTACGAGCAGTTCGCACAGCGGACGTAGTCCAGGGGGTTGCCTCCGCTCGCGTTGGTCTTGCCTGCCTTGCCCACTCCTTTGCTCTTGCCTTTGCCGCCGCCACCCTTGGCCCGCGGCTCGGACCTGGCCCTCTGCGAGGAACTGGACATGGCGAGTGGGCAGCGCACAGCCTACCCTCTGCCGAAACACGAATCAAAACTGTCGGGCCGAGAGGCCCTGGCACTGGCCGCGGACTAGCGGTATCCACTCGTTCCCCTGTGGAACAGATCATCTTGAGCCAAAATGGCTACGGTGTGTGTGTGTGTGTGTGTGTGTGTGTGCGTGCGTGCGTGCGTGCGTGCGTGCGTGCGTGCGTGCGTGCGTGCGTGCGTGCGTGCGTGCGTGTGTGTGTGTGTGTGTGTGTGTGTGTGTGTGTGTGTGTGTGTGTGTGTGTGTGTGTGTGTGTGTGTGTGTGTGGTGTGTGTGTGTGTGTGTGTGTGTGTGTGTGTGTGTGTGTGTGTGTGTGTGTGTGTGTGTGTGTGTGTGTGTGTGTGTGTGTGTGTGTGTGTGTGTGTGTGTGTGTGTGTGTGTGTGTGTGTGTGTGTGTGTGTGTGTGTGTGTGTGTGTGTGTGTGTGTGTGTGTGTGTGTGTGTGTGTGTGTGTGTGTGTTTGTGTGTTTGTGTGTGTGTGTGTGTCGGGGATTCGTTTTTCTACTGTGGTTGGGGCTGGGGGGTGGGGCAGGCGCACAGCGACGACGACGGCGAACGACGACGAGGGCGACGAGAAAAAGGGGGACGAAGAAGAGGACGACGACGAGGGGGCGGAGGGCCAGCACCCCCATCCGCCCGATCGGCTCAAGCTAAGAGCAAGGACAGAAGAGAGAAACGCATCAGAGTCACATTGGAGCCATATTGGGGCAAGCTTGGAGTCAACTAAGGTTCACGGGGTCATTTGGCGGCAATCTTGAAGTCGCCTCGGATTCATGGGCTTCAAAGTCAATTCGTGGCCGTGCGGTAGCCTTATTTTAAGTCGGGGGACCATAGGTTTGTTTCGATGCTCTCTTGGGGCTGCGGGGTCGCTTTGGAGCCGCTCGGGGTCATACTGGGGCCATTTCTTAGCAGGGGGCGGGGACACTTTGGAACCACAGGGGTAATAGTGCGACAATAGTGCGATCCTTTTTGAACCCTTTTCGGTCCATCTCGGAATTATTTTACGGTGTTGCCTCTCTCGTTATTTGTAGATGAGGGTATCGATTTATTTGTTGTCGTTTTTGGCGATGTTCGTTCGGCCTCCCGCGAGCAGTACGACGTGATGGCGGGGTGTTAACAATCAGCATCTGTTAGTTGACCTTGCACGTCAATGTTCACATGTGCAGTTACGAAAACGCGCAAGAAGACTGTAAGACCACATGTTGTCACGCGTCCAGTGTGGCCTTGCGAAGGCAGGGCGCGTATGTCACGGACTACTCCCCGGAGGCGGCCTCAGAGTGTAACGGAACATTTTTGGAGGTGGCGCTCGTGAGCCACGGAATACCCAGTGGAGGCGGCGTCATGTTATAGTGGCGTTGTCGGTGATGTCGTTGGCTGTTACTTGTGACTTGATGTCGCTATAGTAGTCATGGTGTTGATTTCTCATCCCTAAAGAATAATGGTTGATGCCCCTCCCTGCCCGTTAACCATTGCATTGTTCAATGAGAGTGTTTCTCCTGGGGTTCGCCCACTGGTTGTTACAGGAGTCTGGAATCACGCGCTCGCTGCGGGTTTCCTCACGCGCGGTCGCTGGAGACTTCCCCGCGATTCATGCAGGACGCACGCTTCAGCATCCCGCCTGCTCGACCAGGCCGCCTGGGCCCGCCTTCCTGACCCGCCCGTTCGGGTTTACTCGCCCGATCTGCCCGTCTGGTTCTGCCACGTGTTTTCTGCTCCTCGCCCCCCTCCTGCTAGTTTCTCTCGTGCTCCATCCTCCTCCGTCCCCCTCGTCCCGTCCTTCCATTCGTCCTCCCTTCCCCTGCCGTAGGGGCTACACGAAATGCGCATATATATATATATATATATGCACACCCTTATATATATATATATATATATATATATATATATATATATATGCACACCCAAAGGTGTACGTGTTGAATGGCACGCGGGTAGGTAGGGGGCGAAGAGTCTTTAAATGATTGTTGTTGTTGTTGGTGGTATTGTCGTTGGTGCTGATGGTGTTGCTGTTGTTGTTGTTGTTGTTGTTGTTGTTGCTGCTGGTGTGTGTTGTTGTGGTTCGCTGGTGTTGCTGGTTTTTGCGTTGTTGTTACTGTTGTTGGTGTCGTTGACGGTTTCGTCGTGGTTGTTGTGGTTGGTGTTGTTGTTGGTGTCATTGTTGATGTTGTTGCTGCTGTCGTTCATAGTGTTGTTGCCGTGTGCGTTGTCGTTGTTATGGTTGCTGTTTTTGTGGTAAGTGATCATGTTGTTGCTAATAATGATGTTGATGCCGTCTTTGTTGCTGCTGCTATTGGTGTTAGTGGTGCTGCTGCTGTTGTTGTTGCTGCTTTTGGTGGTGTTGGCGTTGGTGTTGTTATTGCTGTTGCTGTTGTTGATGCTGTCGTGCGGGCCATCGGGTTTGCTATTATTGTTGGTCGCATTCGGTGTGGTCAGACCACAGCACACCCGAGAAGTCAACAACCAAGCGTACCCTCGAGGAGTGTGTTACATTGTATACATACAAATGTAACTAAATAAGTATATGTGTCTGGGCCCCCGGGCCGCGTCACGCATCTGTGCGACCGCGTATCTGTTGGATCAGGCCTCGGAATCCAGACCGCGAGGGCGCGGATACGGATGTGTTCGCCGCTCGTGATGCCCGTCGCTGCCCCCCACCGCCTCGGCGCTCGTGCGGCGCGGCGGCGGGGAGGAGGCGTTCGAGTTCGCCGCCGCCCTTGTGCTGCTGCTCCAGGGCGTCGAAGATACCGCGAGCGTGCTCGACATTGCAGAGGACGGGGCGGGGCTTTCCAACCGCCGCCGCCGCTCTCTACGATCGGCATGGGGACGGAAAGAATGGGTACAAAAACCGACGTCCCATTTTGAAAGGGAACCGCTGTCGGTGTACCCGCTTGCCCAAGAGCGGCCGCTGTCGGCGTCGGGCAGCACGTGCCGTTCGGCATCGTAGCCTTTTTGTTCCTGTGCCCGCTCCCGGGGTCCCAAGTCGGGGCCGCCGAGGTCGTCGAGGGGGCGGAGGGGCAGAGTGGAAGTGCTGTCCAGGCGCTCCCTACCTCCCCCCCTCCACAATACCCGCGCTGCTCCTCCTCGTCCTCCTCCTCCTCCTCCTCCTCCTCCTCCGCCTCCTCCTCCTCCTCCTCCTCCTCCTGTCCACCTCGGTCTCTTCCACCGCTATCACTTCTTTTTTTTTCACCTTTTCTTTAATGAGCCCCCCTCCCACGCAGGTCCTTGCCGGGTGGGAGGGGCAGGAAGGGTGTGCATGGTTGCAGGAGCTTCCTTCGACCGCCATGAGTGAATGAGTGAGAGAGTGCAGGATGGAAGGGGGGTCATGAGGAGGAGATGGTGGAGGCGGGGCTGATCATCTCACGCCTGTGCTCTCTGCCTTACTTCTTCTCCTCCTGATATGTACACTTGCGCGTCCCTCGTGCTGTGCTTGGCTGACTCGCCCAAGTCGGTATGTCTGCATGTAGCCGCCGCGATCTAGTGGTCGGAGCCCGTGCGACGTGACAGAGGGGGGTGCGGATGCGGCACGAGATCAGGCGTCATGTGTCGAGGACTGGACAAGAACATGAACTTACACTCTCGGGGCTCTTGCCAGATGTCTTGGATCGGTGCTGGGCACCCCTGGCGGCACCTCTGGCGCCGCCCTTGGCGCGCGCCAGGGGCGGTGGCGGCCAGCGCCGATCCAAGAGATCCGCGCGGAGCTCCGAGAGTTTACGCTTATGCCGTGCGCTTTTTCCTTTCTGCTGCATCGTCGGGGGACCTCGCCTGTCCCAAACATTGGTGTCTTTTGGGGGGCCCGACGCGTGCTCGATGCGGACTCGACGCGGATTTGGCGTTGATTCGACGAGGATTCGACACGGACTCGACACGGATCCGACGCGTCCGACATGGACTCGACACGGATTCGACGCGGACTGGGCCGCGACGGGACAGACAAGGTCCCCCGAGGATGCAACATCATTTCCCCCACGCTTCGGCCGCGACCCCGCGGCCGCGGGGCGTGCTCCCGCGGAGGCTCCGCGCAGAACGTGCCAGCGAGACCGAGCCTGCACGGGGTCGCGCTCCAGAATCCAGACCGCGAGGGCGGTGATGCGGATGCGTTCGCCGCCCGTGCGGACGAAGAGGAGGACGAAGAGGAGGAAGAAGAGGAGAACGAAGAGGGAGCCCCCCTCTTCGCCTCTTCGTTCTCCTCTTCGTCCTCCTCGTGGGGGGCGCGCGCAGCCAGCATGGCCGTGCGGCGGAGGGCTCGCGCGCGGCCAGGGCCGGCGCATACCAGCGCCGCGCGCGTTTCCGGGAGGTGGGGCGTGGCCGCGGCGCAAGCAGGGGCGGCGTGGCGAGCGACGCCGTCGCGGAGGTGAGGAGTTCTGGCAGACCAGCCACATTTGGGGGAGCTGTGGTCCTTACCCCCCTGGGGGACCCATTGATTTCGACACCCCTCTCGAGAGATCGCCGAGGCGATGGGTTCCCCCAGGGGGGTAAGGACCACAGCTCCCCCAGTTATTGCTGGTCGGTTCTGGGCGCCCGAGGGGAGTTCGGTAGCAAGTTATGGGAGCCTGGCGTACCCCTTGAATTCCGCCTTTAGCTTATGATGTTCCAGCCTGTTGGGCTGGCCTCCGGCCAGTGCCGCCGATCCGGGGGGGGGTGAGAGCGAGGGGAAGAAGGGGCCTGGGGTACCGACAAAAACGTCGGAAATGACGTCGGAAATATCTCCGGGTACCGAAACACGTCGGAAATGACGTCGGAAATAACGTACGCCCCCCCCCCTGCAGAGCGAAGCTTGAGCGAGCTCAAGTCCACGCTCTCAGAAACTCACACGCCGGATCGGCGGACTTTAGCCTTGATCACCATAAAGAATTTCAAGCATCCAGAAAATACCGCAGCTTGAGTATTTTCACGTGTTGGGTCCTGGGTGGCGACATTCGTTCGACGCTGTTTCGACAATTTTCCGGGTGTTCGAAATTATCTTGGGGATTTTGTCCTTAAGTGCGATGGGAGCAACATAACCTTTAGCGTCGATCGGCAACGATTATAGCGCCTGGGAGTCGACGAGACAGGGCCGATTTGGCGTCGGCTAGCGTCGATTAGCGTCGACTTAGCGTCGATTAGCGTTGGCTAGCGTCGATTCGCGAGAGCCGACAAGATGGCAGGGGAGGCTCCCATGAGTTGCCACCGAAGGGGAGTGGGAGTGGCCCTCGCCGCACGGGACCCGGTGCCCACTGGTCGACGGGGCCTCCACATCGCGAAGTCCTGGTCGAAGAGGTCGTCTTCTTCGTCGGTGTCTGGCCGTTCGTGTGTGCAAAGTCAGAGCCTTGATTTAGTCATCAACCTCGCCCGCTTCCTGGTGTGATCAGCCAGAGAACTCCCTTTCTCTCCGCTTCTGCTCCTCGGTGCGCCGCTCGCGCTCCGCTCCGGCTCTTGCTCCTTCGCCACCCTTCTCTATCCTTAGCCGCTCCCTGCTCCATTTGCCCGTCATTCGCTTGGCCCCGGAGGTGGCCCCCGAGGCTTTGGCATCGGACCTCCCCTCCTCTCATCTTCGCCCCCCCTCCCCCCCCCTGCGCGACTGTCCAGACCGTTGCGCCCCCCGCGAAAAATTCGCGAGAGTCCGGGCCCCTCGCGAAAAATTCGCGAGAGTCCCGCGAAAGATTCGCGTGAATCCTTCGCGCCGTGCGTTGTCCTCTGAGGCGCCCCTCGCGGTACCTCGCCACCGTGAAACCCCCCTGGGCGATTCGCGACGGCTGTTCCCGCGCGCGACCACCCTGGGCGACTCGTGCAGGAACTGAGCGGTGGAGACCCCCCCGGGCGACTCCACCGCTCGGACCGACCCACCCACGGGCGAGTCGGCCCGTCCTGGAGCCCCCCCGGGCGATCCAGGACCCCCCGCACCCTCCCAGGCGAGCGGGGGCGCCTACGGGGAAAAAAACCCGCCTAAGCTCCCCCTTTTGAGAAAACTTCGGCGGGGGCGATCCGCGCCGGGGTGGCAGTCGAACCCCCGCGGGCGATCGACCGCGGCAGATCCCTCCCACATTAAAAATACAAAAAGGTATCCAAAAACACAAAACAACACAGTGCAACACACAAAACACACACACACACACACACACAACAAACACAAACAAGCACCGGACGGGACATAAAAACCCCAGGAAAACTCAAAAACCATACACACGCACACAATAATTATTAAATTATGGCTCTGACTTTGCACACCTAATGCCGCTGGCGTCGTCGGGGGAATAGGAGGCGCAGGATTGAGGGGGGGCGCGAGGAGGAGGGAAAGGACCACAGTAATCCTAAGATGCGTCGGCGACGCTGCAGTACCCAGCCACGCGTAGAAAAGGGGTAGGGAAGGGGGGAACGCTTCTTAGAAGCACCCATGCTTCTCAAAAGGCGCGGGCCTTCTCTGTAGACGTAAGGCCGGCGCCTTCTAAGGAGCAGCAGTGCCAGCCGCCAAAATTCACCCTTCCGTCCCAAGTCCCCTCGTTCAAATTAGTCCCCGAAGGAGGCGCCCCCCACAGAAGACAAGCGCCCCATGAGGCTTCAATTCGGGAAGAAAACGATGACCACGAAAGCGACGACGACGACGGCGACGAAATAGGAGGGACGACGACGAGACGCCGACGACGGACGACGACGACGAGGGAGTAGGAAGGACGACCACGACGACAACGACGATGGAAACGACGACGACGGAAACGACGACGACGACGACGAGGAAATACAGAGGACGACGACGGCGACGACGACGACGAGGGAGCAGGGACGGCGACGACGACCACGACGACGACGCAAGATCGCGCGCGCGCACGTTTTTGTTGAAAATCCGTGTTGCGAAACCCTGTGTTTTTGTATGTTTCTTGGACTCTCGATTTTGAAATCCTTCCAGCACCGAAGGTTTTTGAAGTATTTCGGCATGCGCGCGCGACGACGCGCGCGCGGACACTTCGTCCCATCTTTTGCAGAGGACGCTCGCGACGGCACGCGCGCAAGGGCGTTCGAAAGATTTCGACATGCGCGCGCGAAGCCCGTTTGGTAGTATTTTTTTGGAAATGTTGAACAACCGATGTTTTTTCTCAAGATTTCGCAAGAGCGCGCGCGTATGTCTTTTTAGAACATCAGTTTTGCGAAACCCTGTGTTCTTGCATATTTTTGGAAACTCGACAGCGAAATCCTTCCGAAACCAAAGGTTTTTGAAGGATTGCGGCATGCACGCGAGACGACGCGCGCGTGTGCACTTTGTCCCATTTGTTGCAAGGGATGTTTGAAAGCTTCTGATTCTTGATAATGGGGTGCGCGCGCATAGTATGTTTTGCAGAGGATGGCTGGGGGCGGGGGGCGCCGATACCGGTTTGGCTGGGATGTTTTTCACAGGCAGGATGGACATTGGGTGAGAATCTGATGTGGTTTACATCGGTACCCGGGGGGTCTTTAACCCAAGGGGGGGAGGGTGGTAGAACTTATGTTCTTTCCAGAAAGGAGATTTGATGTGGCAGTATATGTTGTGCAATATGTGACGTGCAGCCTGTGTATGTATGCATCATATATAGTTATACAATTACATATGTGTATATATATATACAGATAACTTTACGTTGTGCAGTCCATGTGGCCTAAACAATCCAGCTGCCTGCAGCAAGTCCCGTCGTCGCGCCAGCCCAGCATTCTGGGCGGCGACTGTTCGCGGGGGCGCGGGAGGCGGGCATGTGCGACAGGCTTGGGAGCAGCCGTGATGAGGATGATGCGGATTACTAGGATGATGGGAGTGTTGGCGATAGTTATGATGATGATGACGTTGATGATGATGCTGATACTGATGATGATGATTCTGATGATGATGACGATGATGATGAGTATGGTGATGATGATTGGGCTGACATTGATGTTGCTGCTGATGATGATGGTGGTGATGAGAGTGATGATGACGAGGACGATGATGACGAAGCGATACCGTTGATCATGATGATGATGATGTTGATGATGATGATGACGTTCTTGATGCGGGTGCGAATAGTAATGATGATGATGATGATGCTGATGAGGTGGTGATGATGATGATGGTGAACATGATTACGATGATGTTGACAACGATGATGATGATGATGATGTCGATGCTGATGATGATGATGATGCTGATGTTGTTGTTGTTGATGGTGCTGACTGTGATGGTGATGACGGTGATGATGATGACGATGATGATGATGACGATGATGATGATGATGTTGTTGATGCTGATGCTGATTATGATGATGATGATGCTGCTGATGATGATGATGCTGCTGCTGCTGCTGATGATGATGATGATGATGATGATGATGATGATGATGATGATGATGATGATGATGATTGATGGTGGTGATGGACATCGTTTGGGCCGCCTTGGGGCTGTCTTGGCAGCTTGAGAAGTAGTATTTGGCCGTCGTGGGACCATCTAGCGCCGGTTTGGGGCTCTCTTGGGCCGTCTTGAGGCCTTATTGGTCGTATGGTGGGTGTCTGGGGGCCGTGGGGCGTATTGGCGCCGTCTTGGGCCGTCGAACGGCGTTCTAAGGCCGTATTGGATCCCACAGGAGGCCCTCGTGGGCTGTTTTGGGGCCGTCTTGGATGCCTCTTGGACCATCGTGGAGTACGCTTGGGCCGTCTTGAGCTGATGGCAGCCCGAAAAGGCGAGAACGCGAAAATCATTCAAACCCAAGAGGAAATCAATCCGAGGAAATCAATCCTGTTTGGTTTATGCTGACCCTATTGGAGGTATTATTGCGGGCCTTTTGGGCCCTTTTGGCGGCATCTTGGGCCGTTTTGAATCACTGTTCGGCCGCCTTGTGGCCATCTTGGGCCGTCTTCGAGGCATCTTGGGCCATCTTGGTGTCATTGGTTGTCTGCGCGGTCCGTCTTGGTAGCTCGCCAGCGGACCTGGCCCGTGTCCCTGACTAGGGTGAGCCCTTGGTCGAATGACGAGGGGCGCAAAGATGGGGACGGTGATTCCGACCGCACGCAGGGCGAGCCCGATGTGTTTGGCTCGTCCTTCCGACATGGCCCTGCGACCGCATCTTGAAGCCACAGGGAGGACCTGTGAAACATGCCTTCGCGCACGTCGAGCAACTCGTCCCTCGCACAGAGTGGACCTGTGGAATATTCCCTCGCGCACGCGTAGGCGGCTCTTGCGACATGGCAGCAGGCGGCTGTCTCTGCTTGGACTGAGAGGCATCTTAGGACTCGGACTCTAGCGCGACCCGACGTACGCACCAAGGGTGTGCGCGTGCACGGCAGGAATGGATGCTGGCGTTCACATTGTTGCTTGGAGTGATCCCGACGGCGTCTGGCAGCTTCGCGCAAAAGGTGACGGCCGTTGGTGTTGCAGAGCCTCAGTTGCCCAGAGAGGAGGTGAACAGCCGCCATCCCGCGGCCATGCTATGAACGAACGCCGTAACTTCCTTCGCCGCTGTTGCCAGGCCAGCAATAGAAAAGCGACGGTTTGGCCCCGGCCACAGCGCCGCGCCGCTGGCAAAAACATGATGCATTGAATCGCGCTTGAAGGTTGAAGTCGGTGCTGGGCTCAAGCCCAGATCGCGTGGCAACAGTGACGACGAGGAGGCTGAAGAGGAATAGACGGGGAGGAGGAGGAAGAGGAGGAGGCGGAGGAGGAGGAAGAGGAGGAGGAGTAGGAGGAGTAGGAGAAGGAGGAGGAGGAGGAGGAGGAGGAAAAGGTGGACGACCAGGGCAAGGAGGACGAGGGGGGAGGGGGAGGGGCAGGAGGAGGAGGGTCATCGGCATCAGGAGGCACGACTGAGGACTGGGACTGTGGGGGGGGGGTGATGACGACGAGGACGGTTGTGGGGAGGAGGGGTTTCCCCTCTGCAGCGAGAGGAAGTGTGGCTGCAGCAGCACCGGGAGGCGATCGCCGTCCAGGACGGCCCGCTCCCGGCTCCCGGCTGCCTTGTTTGGCCATTCCTCCTGCGGCCGCTCCTCATCCGTCCGAGGAGGATGCAGGAGGAGAAGGAGGAGGAGGAGGAGGAGGAGGACGAGGAGGGAGAGGTGGAGGAGGAGGAAAGAGCGAGGGAGGAGGAGGTGGATGACGAGGAGGAGGAGGTGGATAAGGAGGAGGAGGAGGAGGAGGAGGAGGAGGCAGAGGAGGAGGAGGAGGAGGAGGAGGAGGAGGAGGAGGAGCAGCGGCAGGAGGAGCAGGATGACGAGGAGGAGGAGGAGGAGGAGTAGGAGGAGGAGGAAGAACAAGAGAGGGAGAAGGAGGAGAAGGAGGGCGAGGAGGAGGAGGAGGAGGCCGATGAGGCGGATGCTGTTGTTGAGCTCTCATTCCTTAAGGCACTGGTGCCCGCTCCGTGACTCTGTAGTCAAAGCACCCCATTCGGCTCTCGCGCTCTCGCTTTTGTCTGGGAAAGTGCTTGGGGTCATAAGCGAGCATGGCTCTGTAGTCGAAAGACCCCATTCGGCTCTCGCGCCTTCGTTTTTGTCCGGGCAGGTGTTTTGGGCCATGAGTGAACGTAGAAGTACGAGCGCTGTAGGAGGCCGGATTACAAATATGATGGAACCAGCACCACCCAACACTGCGCCCGCGTTCCCAGGCACACTTCCGTGTCCCTTGCAGCGGGAGATCATCCAAAGGAAGGACTGCCCGAACGGCTTGATCGCGTCTGCCCGCGGCCATTGCTCAGTGGCCCTGTCCGTCTCGCACGCGCCAGGTTTCTTAGTAAGCGTCGGGGGGGCGTCCCGCATCGACCCCCGTCGTGGGCAGCCACCGCGCGCCGAAGGCGCTTCGACCCCCGTCGCGGCGCGCCGAGGAGGCGAGATTGACCCCCGTCGGGTGGGGGGGCCCTCCACGCTTATTATGAAACCCAGAGTAGTCTTCACATGAGCTCTCCCACCGTTGAGCACCTGACAACCTTGCGGGATGCACGTGCACACATGACGCCACCGTGTGTGGTTCCACCGTTATTTGGAGGCTCTCCAGTCTTGGCGTTGCCTCACAACCATATTGTAAAAAGCCACGCGATGTGTGGGTTGAAAAAACAGCCCGCAAAAATCCTCGAATGGTTAATCCTCTTCGCTGTGTTCCCTTCCAACGCACGTCACCCGAACGTCCAAAGTTTAGGTGCGCGACTTACCAAATTCAATACGAAGGCAACAGCTTTGATCACATATCAACAGGTTGTTCTAGACGGATTGTCCACCGGCATGCAAGCGCTTCCCTCGGACACGTGCGCATAGTCTCCTCGCAAACACACGCGATCCTGAACTCTCTCACCTGCAGCATTCATGCACCCCTCACCCTGTGCAACATCATACCATGTGTATCGGCAGCTGTACTTAGATGTTCTAGGATGTTCAGGTCGCATTTCTACTCTAGGCGCTTTCCAATGTCAATAGCCGAGTGGTTATTTCTCGTCCCCCCTCTCCAGGGAGCTGGCGGGGGCCTACTCTCCAATGCCATTACGTTTCTCCCCACTTCTTCCGACCGATGGCTACCTGCTGCACCACCACGGTGCCCGGGGCGGGGCATGAGGGACTCCTCCTCCTCCCCCTCCTCCTCCCCTTTTCCCCCTTCCCCTCCTTCTCCTCCATCCCCATCGTCCTCCTCCTCCTCCTCCTCCTCCTCCTGCTCCTCCTCCTCCTCCTCCTGCTCCTCCTCCTCCTCCTCCTCCTCCTCCTCCTCCTCCTCCTCCTCCTCCTCCTCCTCCTGCTCTCTTCCCTCCGAGGATGCCCGGCCGGAGGCCCGCGCCGAGTGCCGGCGGCAGATGCGCGAGCTGGAGATCGGCTGCAGCCTGGTCGCCCGCCTGCGCACTCGGACGGCGTCCTCTGCCGCGTGGACAGCGGCGCCCGCCCTCCTCCTCCTCCTCCTCTCCTCCTCCTCTCCTCTCCTTTCCTCTTCCTCCTCCTCCTCCTCCTCCTCCTCCTCCTCCTCCTCCTCCTCCTCCTCCTCCTCCTCCTCCTCCCCCTCCCCCCTTCCTCCTCCTCTTCCTCCTCCTCGTGGGGAGGTGAGGAGGAGGAGGAGGAGGAGGAGGTCTTCTCAGGAGGTTCGGAACGCCCCCCGGCCTTCTGAGGAGTGTTCAGAGCCTTCCCCGAAGACGCGCGCGAGTGCTTCTGAGAGGCCTCCCCGCCTTCTGAAAAGGCCTTTTCCTTCTCTAGGGGACCACGTGCGAGCCCTACCCCTACCCCCCATTATTTCTGAAGGGAAGGGTGGGGTTCAGGTTCACTACCCCATCATTATTTCTGAGGCGAACCCCCCCACCCCCCACCCCCCCACTACCCCCACCCATTTCTGAGGCGAACGGAGTGAACCCCACCCTCCCCCTCAGCAATCGTGGGGGGTATGGATAGGGTTCGCATGTGTCGGGCCGGACGTTTGGGGGGGATTGGGAAAGCGGGGGTTACGAAATTTGCTGCATGCAGCTGGTTTCGGCCCGTCTCGATGGCCTGACCAGCATCCGCATGAGACGAAACAACCGCAGCCTTGTCGGTAGAAACAGTGGCCTCCATGTGAGTCTCCAGAGCCACCAAGAGGTCCACCGAGGCCTTCTTAAGCGAGGAAACCACCGACTTAGACGTCCCAGAGCTCGAAAGCCCGTAGTCATCAATGTAGATGTCCAGGGAGACTTGCTGGGGGAACCTGATGGGGTCCACAGTAGGAATAACGCAAACACGCACAAAGGATGTAGCCATACTGCATCCAGCCACAACCCCGTGCGTGACGAAATGGGGCCCGTGCAGGAGGCCCCCAAGAGAAACAAAGCGAGCTCCTCGATCAGCCCTAGCCGATATCCTGGCAATCCAAGGCCTGGCACCGATCAAGCAGCTTGGGAAGCCGAACCGTCTCGTAAAAATTACACAAATCCTATAGGATCTTCCAATAGCTATGCCCACGACCGACGACATGCTCGCTCTTGACCCAAGGGGAGGAGGAGGAGGAGGAGGAGGAGCAGGAGGAAGAGGAGGAGGAGGTGGAGGTGGAGGTGGAGGTGGAGGTGGAGGTGGAGGAGGAGGAGGAGGTGGAGGAGGAGGAGGAGGAGGAGGAGGAGGAGGAGGGAGGAGGAGGGGGAGGAGGAGGAGGAGGAGGAGGAGGAGGAGGGGGAGCAGGAGGAGGAGGAGGAGGAGGAGGAGGAGGAGCAGGAGGAGGGCGAGCAGGAGGAGGAGGAGCAGGAGGAGGAGCAGCAGGAGGAGGAGTCGCCTGCCGCCCCGCGCGGGCCCTGCTCTCCGGGCATCGCTGTAGACTCTCTGCGCGCCCCGCGTTCGCCGGGGAGCCGGCGCGCACCACGGGCTCGAGCCACAGGCTCAGGGGCAACGATGGAGTGGAGGCCCATGTCGAGAAACATTATGACCAGCCTGGAACACATCCCTATCCCTATGCTGGGCACCTCCTCATCACGATGCCAATCTTAGGGATTCCCTTATCTTTTGAGGGCGAATCCCTAAGGTTGTCATCGCCTTTTGGCGTGTCAATCTTAGGGACAGGGATACGTTCGAGGCTGGTAACATTATTCTCGTAGTATGTTGAGCGTTTCCAAAAACAAGAGTTCCGCGGCTGTGGTGTGGCTCTCGCGTTAGCGCTGTGCGCACGCGGATCGTGGGCGGTCTCATCCTGGGTCTGGTTCTTGCCTCGGCGCCGCGCACGGCCTCCAGAAGCATGCGCGCGGGGTGCGGGCATGGAGCGAGGTTCGTTTTCATGCAGTGGGGGCCCATGCCAAGAAACACCCTGCTTGCCTCCAGGGTGCCCTGGGCTTCTTGGGTTTCGACGGTTTTGCTGTGGGAAGCGCGACGTTCCCACGCCAAAAATCGATGGACTTCCTGGGGTCTCAGGGTTGGGTTTCTTGTGGGAGGTTTCTTGTGGTCGGGCCCCTCCTGTACAGGCCAGTCGTTGACTGTAAGTAGTTCTGGATTCCTAGATCGCAGTCTATTTCCAGCGCCTTCCTACTTCAACGATCGATACGCTTCGGTCGGGTTCCGTTGTGCTCTGGGAGGGCCTGGACCCAATCTCCCTGATCCGCGTTCCTACCTCATATTTCCACCCACTTCTTCCGACCGACGTGCCGGGGGGAGGACTATCTGGGGGGGGCGGCTGTCCCAGACCCCCTCGAGTCATGAAAAATCGCCCCGGGAGGTTTTCCCTTATTCAATCGCTTCGCTCATTCCGCCGGCCTATATTGTAGCATCGCTGGCACTCGCTTGCGTGCTTGGGGGGGGCATTTGGGGGGCCTCCTGGGGCCGCTTGGGGGCCTCTTGGGGGAGGTTTTCCCTTATTCTCGGCCTCCGGGGGCCCTTCCCGGGCGTCGGGGCCGTCAGACACCGACCTGGGATCACAAGCCGGTCCTGGGGAACAGGTCGAGACCTCTTGGGGTCGATGGTCTGAACAACTTGTGACGTCGGGGTTTTGGGATCAGGGATAGTTATCAGGTGGGGACTTCCAGGGATGACTATCCGGGGGGGGAAAGGCACCCATACCTTTGTCCTGTCCTTTCCTTGTGTTCCACTTCTGGGCCTGCCGCGAAGCCCCAATCGCCACCGCTGCATTCGCCTCGAGATTCTGGTCAGAACGCCCCCGGGAGAGGTATGGGGAGTAGCGGTATCGGTCAGGGGCCACGATAGGGGGGGACGGGCACAGGGGGGGGGACGCAGTGACCCCCCATCGCCCATGGATCGCCGGTCGGGATCTGATGGCCCCACCCCTCCCAGGAACGTGCGGATTTGCTATGGGGAGCCCATCGCCGATCTATCGGAGATGTATCACCGATTCCAGGTCGATATTTCCCCCTGTGCCAGTCCCCCCCCCCCTCGTTGCCCCTCACAGGCGCCCCGCCTCCTCCTTCCTTCCTTTCCTGTTCCTCCCTCTCGGTGTCGTGCATCCTCCCTCCTTCCTCTCGCTTCCCCCTTCGTCCCTTCTCCCTCCTCCCCCCCCTCCGCCCTCGCTCTTCTCCAGCCTCCCTTCCCTCTCACTCCTGTTCTTTCCCCTGCTCTTCCCACTCTCGTCCTCATCCCCATCCCCCCTTCCTTTCTCTCCTTCCCCCCCCCCCCCCGCGTCCTCCTGCTTTCTGCTTCGCATCCCTCTCCTCCACCTCTGCCGCTTGCGCTTCTGATCCAGCGGAGCTCCATCTCAGAGAGCCCAGCATCCAAAAGGCGAGAAGGCCGAAGGCGAGGGACACAGTAATTAGGTGGACACGAGGAAGGTGGAGTAAAAGCCGAATGAGTATGAGGGGCAGGACCAGAGCTGAGCGGGAGCAGGAACAGAAACAGTGTCAGGAGCGAGTGGGGCAATAAAAGCGATAGGGTACTAGGAGATCGGCACCATGCGACAATGTGAGAGGGAGCCAGGCCCAACAGGGTCAGGAACAAAACCACGAGGAGGAATATCATGTTCACAAGGAGCACGGTGTGGATGACATGGGTGCGACGGAGAAGCTTCAGGAGGATTTTCATCGATGATGAAGAGGAGAGGTGGTGGAGGAGGACATTGACCAGGAGGGTGATGACCGGGAGGAGGAGGAGGAGGAGGAGGCGGCGGAAGAGGACCAAGAAATGGAGGATGACGAGGAATCTCAGGGTGAGGAGAACGACGATGAGGACTTAGGAGGAGGAGGAGGAGGAGGAGGAAGAGGAGGAGGAGGAGGAGGAGGAGGAGGAGCAGGAGGAGGAGTAGGGGGAGACATAACGTGGAGGGAAGGGCGGCGAGGAAGAGAAGGGCGACGCGTAACACGACGAACACGAGGATTGAGTGACGAGGACGCGGAGGGCGATGATGACGATGTTGTTGGTAATAATGACGAGATGACGATGACGTTGGTGATGCGGTTGTTGATGATGATGCTGATGCTGATTATGATGATGCTGATGACGATGATGGTGGTGGGGAGGGTGATGATTATGCTGAGTATGATTATGAGTACGATTATGATGTCCACGGTGGTGATGATGCCGACGACAATGCTGATGATGATGTCGATGGTGATGATGATGATGATGGTGATGATGATGATGATGATGATGATGCTGACGATGATGATGATGATGGTGGTGATGGTGATGGTGATGGTGATTGTGATGGTGATGACGTTGCTGGTGATGATGATGGTGATGATGCTGTCGAGGATGACGATGTTGCTGGTGATGCTGAGGATGATGGTGATGATGATGATGATGATGATGATGATGATGATGATGATGATGGTGGTGATGCTGATGTTGATGGTGGTGGTGAGGAGGATGAGGAGAAGAAGGGAACGGTATGACCCACGAACTCCGCCAGGATCCCGAGGCTGCCTGGCGGCGAAGCCGTGGGTGCTGAGGACGCACATCCCTTGTGCTGCGCCTCCTCGTCCTCGCCCTTCGCCTGCTACACCCTCCTCAACGATGTCACCCTCCTCCTCCTCCACCTCCTCCTCCTCCTCCTCCTCGTCCTCCTCCTCCTCCTCCTCCTCCTCCTCCTCCTCCAGTCGGCTGCCCATTCCCTTCCCTTCTCGGCCCCTCCTCCGCTGTCCCTCGAGCCATGCTGGCCTGCGGCGGCCGCGGTGCACGCGGGTTGCCGCTCGGTGTCTTGCCACAGGCGATTGCCTCACACGCGCTGTTCTCAGCCAGCTCGCGTACAGTCGGGGCCCTGAAGAAGGAACCCTTTTGGTTGGGGAGGGGCTCCGCGTTCCGTAAGTGTTTCACAGCTTGTCTTGGGCTTCCCTTGGGTTTTCGATACGAAATCGGAGTTCAATTTATGGAAAATAGGGGCCTCGTTCCTTATTGAGGGTTCCTTAGGGCAACGCCTCGACCGTATTCTCAGCCAGCTTGCGTACCGACGGAGGTCCCGCATATGGCATCACAGTCAGCCGCCGCTTCCTCCCCGACCCCTTCCTCTTCCTGGTCGTGCTCCAAGTGCCCCCCTGGCGGCCAACGGGCCCCAACACAACCATCCTCATCACAGGTGCGTCGACTGTATTGCGCACGTGTTGGGACGCCAGGCTGAACTTCAGAATTCCGCCTTCCCTCCTCGGCACGACCCTCCGCCTCCCTATCTTCCACTTCCTCCCGGGGAGCAGGATGGGGTGCACCGTGTGGGGCGGGGGGAGGGATTGGATGGGACGGAATGAGGACGAGGGGACGGGGCAGGACGACAACGAGCTGAGTGGGTGAAGAGGGGGGGAAGGAAGGAGTGGAGGGCGGAAGGGAGGGAGGAGCATTTTAGACGCTCCGCGTACCCCCACGAGCCCTGAAGTGCCTGTCGGACCTGCTCGTTTTCCTCGGGCCCTATGCCGACTTACAGCGGGTGATCGACCTCTGCGTGTTCATGGTCGCGCCGTCGCGCTATTTTGGCTGCGCCTACTTGATGGTCGCCACCAGGATTTCCACAATTTCCACCCACGCCACCGGGTTGGGAGTGCCGCTCCTGGGGCACTTCAGAGTGACTGCCCGCGCGTTCGCTTCGCTTGCCACTCTCTGCGCCTGTCTTGCTTTTCCGCTTTCCGCTTTTCTGCTGCCTCGTCGTGGCCGGGCTACAGTTTGGACGCCTTTTGACCCGCTTCACGAGGCCGCTGGCCAAAAAGGACCCCCACAAGCCCATTCAGAATCGATGCCCAGATGAGCTGCCTTGATCCGGGGTGTGGAGGAGCATGCAGTGGAATAGCGTGCTGAGTAAAAGCAACGTCATGCCCCAAGAGGGGGAGGATAGAGGAGCATAGGAGGAGGAGGAGTGTGGAGAGAGGGGGGAGGATGGAGGGGGGAAGGGGAGGAGGAGGAATAGGCGGATGAAGACGAGGAGGAGGAGGAGGCGGAGGAGGAGGAGGAGGTGGAGGAGTGCTCAGGTGCCTCGTGGCAACCTCCTGGGGTAATCCTGGAGTGTATTGGGGGCCTCGTGGCGGTAAGGGGCCTTCTGACAGCGTTTTGGGTGCCTCGGAGGAGCCTCTTGGGGTCTCTTGAGGATCGCTTTGCGGGTTTCTTGGGGGGGCTCTTGGGGTCTCCTGGGCGCCTCTTGTTGCCCTCTTGGGGACCTTTCGGGTTCCTTGGGGGCTATATTGAAGCCATTTCGGATGATACCCATCATGGACGGAGGGATTCTGAATTGCCCCCCGCCCCCCCCCCACCCTCCCCAGGAGGCCACATTCGGCCCAACACTTTCGTAACATCAATGGTGTGTGCTGTTTCGTCGAGGCCATCGTGGACGCCCCAACGCCTCGCAGAACCTCCCGTCCAGGTCCAGGGGGGGGTAAACCCTCCCTGAATGGGAAGAGGAGGGGGTGGAAGAGGAACCGCTCTAAACCAATCACGCCCTAAAGGGCTGGTGGTATTAGAAGGATGACGGGGATGAGCTTTAGGAGGCGGACGCGATGATAAGACACTCCTTGTTTCAGTACAGGGGGGTGGTGGCGGTGGCTCCTCGTGTCATCGCCGCGGTGCTCGAGTCGATGCTTCTCTCTTTGGCCTGCTGATGGTTTCGCAGGACGCGTCTGGAGCCTGGCGGGGGTGACCCCCCGCGACGGCGTGCTCGTGGGTTCGGAGTCCGAGCTGGTCCAGCCGGGACACGAAGGCCGGCCTCGACCTCCTCTTCCTCCTCCTTCCCATCCTCCGCCTCCTACTCCTCCGTCAATTTCCTTGTTCCCTTCATCCGTCCATGCGGATACTGATGCTGATGATGATGTTGCTGATGATGATACCGGGGATGCTGATTGTGACGCTGATGATGATAATGATGGTGATGATTGTCATGAAGTAAGATGTTGGGATGGTATTTATGATCATGTTGATTATCATGTCGGTGATGGTGATGGCGATGGCGATGGTGAGGATGATCATGGATATGATGATGAGGGTGATGATGATGATGATGATGATGCTGATGATGATGATGATAGTAAGGCGGAGTGTGATAATCATGATGACGATGATGACGATGTTGATGATGATACTGATGCTGCTGATGATGATGGTGATGACGAGTCTGATGGCGCCGATTATGATGATGGTTGTGATAATGATGTTGACGATGATGATGCTGATGCTGATGCTGCTGATGATGCCGATGCCGAGGATGCTGATTCTGATGTTGATAATGATGAGGATGGTGGTGGTGAGGCTGATGATGGTGATGGATGATGTTGGGATGGTAATGATGATCATGTTGATGAGATTGATGCTGATTTTGGTTATGTTGTGGCTATTGAGGATGGCGATACTGATGATGATTATGGTTATGATGATGATGATGGCGACGATGATTATCACGATGCTGGCGAAGACGACGATGACGACAATGATGATGCTGACGATGATGATGGCAGGACTGATGCTGATAGTGATTTTGCTGGTGACGATTACGATGATGATAGTGGTGATGATGGTGGTTATGACGATGACGGTGACAACAACGACGCCGACGACGATGATGATGATGTGATGGTTATGATGGTCTGATGATGATGGTAATGGTGATGGTGTTGGTTGTGAGGAGGGTGCGTGTGATGAGTATCATGATGAGAATGAGGCGCAGGATGAGGAGGATGATGCTGCTGATGAGAATGACGATGCGGATGGGGATTGAGATGAGGATGAGGGTGATGCTGAGGATGATGATCAGGATGATGATGACTATGACGCTGGTGAAGACGGTGGCGTTGGTGATCATGATGGCGGTGGTGCTCATGATGGTAAAGACGATGCTGATAATGGCAATACGAATGATAATAATGGATGATGTTGGGATGGTAGTGTTGATGCTGATGATGATGCTGATGATGATGATAATGATAATGATGATGATGATGCTGATGATGATGATGATGATGATGAGGATGATGATGTTCATGTTGATGCTGATGCTGATGTTGATGATGATGTTGTTGAGAATGACGATGCTGATAATGAGGATGATGATGATGATGCTGCATATGGCGGTCATGCTGATGCTGATGCTGACTAGTGTATGGCGGTACCGATGAGGAGAGGAGCAGCTGCAGGATGAGCAGGAGTGGGGGGATGAGGAGTTGGAGGACGAGGACATGCAGCCGACGGGGACGGGGGTGCAGACTTCCCCGGGCGCACTGCCCTGGCGCGCGATGCAGGAGGGGAGGGCCGACTGGGGCCGTGCCCGCACCCTGCCGGGCGGACCGCGTGCGGGATCGTCGTTTCGGCTCCCGGGCCGTTCCGGAGGGCCCGCCAGGGGAGGCCCGGGAGCGACAAGGGAGCCCCGCGAGGGGCGTGCGCTCTACCGTCGGACCGAGGTAGGAGATCGAGGTCGGGTCGGGGAGGGCTTTTGCATCGCTCGGACGTGTGCACTTCCTCTCGGCGAGACCCATCGAGGACCATCCTGGACCATCGAGCATCAAAAACACGCGCAAAGCCGACAACTGCACGGGAAGTGGACGTCCCAGCGACGGCAAGAGGGAAAGGGAAGTCCGAGCGACGTCCGAGCGACGGCCCCAGTGTTCTTCGTGATGGCTGGATGCTCTTGTGCGTGCGCCCCGGGGAGGGTGCCCCTGGATGTTCCGTTCGGCCCGGCCGGCAGAGGGCCTCCTGTTCTTGAGGCAAGGGCTCCCACGAGGGCGCGAAGTTATTCGCGCTTCGCGCTTCGCGGTCCTCGTTCCTTCTCCCCCTCCTCCTCGTCCTCCTTTTCTCCCTTTGGGGGGGCGGCGCGAGGGCGCGAAGTTATTCGCGCTTCGCGCTTCGCGGAGCGCGAAGCGCGAAGTTGGGAGCCCTAGTTGAGGGATGTTTCTGCTGGCCCAGGGCCGACTGCACACATGGTTCCTTCTTAAGTATTCGGAAGTTCTTTTATTTTTCTGGGGGGCTAGGATCCTTTCATTTCTAATGGTTCTATGCTGGGCCTCTTCCTGGCCACTAATTAGGGGGCCAGGAGCAAGTAGAAGCGAGCACAATTAGACATGAGCACGACTAGAAATGAGCGACGCGTGCAGCGCGGCGCGCCCACAAGGGACACTGCCGAATCGACGGCTGCATGGCATTGGCTGCAAGAGAAGGTATGCCCTCCGCGCCAGTGGACCGCGTGCGGGACCGTTGTTGGTTCCTGCCCCGTCCAAGGTTGCCCCAGGGGAGACCCAAGAGGGGTCCGAGCCCAGAACCCCTCGAGTCAGGAACAAAGCACGACTGGAGGTGTTTTGCCGTTTTCGGCCACTGGGGGCCCTTGCCATGCCTCGGGAGTGTCAAAACTGACTCGGGATGAAAAGCCGGTCCCGGGGAATGGGTCGAGACCTCTGGGGGTCGACGTTGTGAAAACAAATCACGACGTCGGGGTCTCTCTTGGGTGCTCGACGTTTTACAGGTGCGGCATGCTTGATGAACATTCCTACGGTCTTGACGCGCAGCTCCTGCAGTGTACTTCGGGCTTGTCATCATTGCTGGGTGAGCTTATCAAGCTATTATTTTGTTAGTGTAGGTCAGGCAGCATCTGATCATGATCATGTCAGGTGTTTGTCAACGTTTGCCCTGCCTGGTTCGTCATTTCGGTTTCCAGACTGCCAGTCTGGGACCGTTTGATTTGCACGTGGCATGGCCTCGCGTCCTGTCCCAGGTTCTCCACTGTGACTATGGTTGACAGTTTCGCTACTCTTTTGCCTTATTGCAGCCAGGTTTCGTTTCGCCGTCTCTCCACTGATGTAGTTTTCCGACGGTTCACTTCCCATTCCACTTGCCTTATCGTTGGTCGATGTTAGCACGTGTCTGCGTGGGAGATGCGCTCCAGCGTCAACGTGCGAAGTGCCTTCAGCATCGAGTGGCTGCTCAGTCGGCGTGTCGTGGGGCGTGCCCGCGGCGAGCGCCAGTATCTGCGCGGTGCCCGAACAAGTGGCACCTTATGCTTGCGAGCAACGATGCATTTGTGCGTGCGTCGGTGTACTATCCCACCGCGAGTGATCAATCCCCTGTGGGCGGATCCCTGGTTCCCCCCGCCGCGTGATATGTCTCGGCCGCGCTCGCTCCCCCGCTCGACTGCCTACGCCTCGCCGCCGCGCGAGTGGCCGCACATCCCAAAACATGTGTGCTGGGTATCGTTCGGCTTCGTCCTGCCCTTGGCGCTTGGGCACCCTGCGTTTTGCAGGAGGCCCCAGCACAACCCAGCGGCCGGGAAGCCAGAACCCTTTGACGATGGCCGCCGACGGTCCTGGTCCAGCGCAGGCCCGTTGCCGGCCGCCCGGTAGATGCTGGCTTGCCCCTCTGGCGGGGCCAACGCTTAAGTCGGGCGTGTCCCCCTACAGGGGGAGTTTCGACAAAAAACAAAAAGTACACTAAAATAGTACAAAAATACTCCAAAAATAGTCTGGGGATTATTTTTCGAGGATTTTTGTTTTAAACCTTTTTAGTGTTTTTTTGTATTTTTCATTGTTTCGTCGACAATCCCCCTGTAGGGGGACACGCCCGACTTAAACCAACGCTGTGGCAGCTCGGTCTGGCAGCACACCTTCACGTGCACCTTCTCCCGCTTTCCCGCTCCGCGGCCGCGCTCCCTCTGTCCCAATCGCCCTGCGCTCCCTGGCCCCGTCGCGGCCCGCCAGCTCTCCGAGCGTGCTGGCTGACAAAAAAGTGCGTGCGCGTCCTCTCCTGTCTGTGCTTCCCTTTTTGCTCCCAGCCACCCTGTGGTGTTGGGTCCCCGTTTTGAAAAGGCGGCGCCCCGAGTCGCTCCTTCCCTGCGGCTCCCCCTCCTCCCTCCTCCCCCTCCTTGCCTCTGCCCTCCACATTTCTCCTGCCCTCCTCCCCCTCCTCCCTCCTCCCTCCTCCCCCTCCTCCCTCCTGCCCTCCACATGTCTGTGTTTCGGCAGACCGCTCACACGTTTCGTGGCCCCACAAGGGGGCCCCACCGCAGGCCCCAGTGGGAGGGCTCGCACGGCATCGCCGCCCCACTTCGGCACACCCCTCACACGCTTCGGGGCCCCACGGGGAGCTCCACCCCAGGCCCCAGCGTAAGGGCTCGCACGGCACCACGTGCGCTTCGTGGCCCTGGGGGCTCCACCGCAGGCGCCAGTGGGAGGGTTCGCATGACACCACCGCCCAATTTTTTGGCACACCCCTCACACGTTTCGTGGCCCCATAGGGAATTGCACCAAAGGCCCCCGTGACTGCGCTCCCATGCGCCCACCGAACCCATTTCGGCGCACGCCTTACATTTTTTGTTGGCCCTATCGGGAGCTGCACCGAAGGCCCCAGTGGCTGCGCTTGCATGCGCCCGCCGCTCCCATGTCACACGCTTCGTGGCCCCATGTGGATCCCCACCAGTGACAATCTTCACAATTGCGTTACTCTCAAGTGCATACGGTCGGGCCCTTCGCCGGGCCATCTCTTGTGCACGCAACTGCCTGCTCAATCCACCCACCTGCTGCGCCAGGTGGAGTTCGACTGAGCGCGCCCCAGCTGAGTCGTCGCGACGGTGCCGCCACCTCGCCGCTGGAGGAAAAGATGAGTCTGGGCACTGGTTCGTCCTCCTCCTCCTCCTCCTTGTCCTCCTCCTCCTTGTCCGCCTCCCCC